GGATATAAGAATGCCGTCGAGTCCTGGCCTGTTCGGCTCAATGGTAGAGCTACGGCCAATGAACCAATGAGTCGTGGGTTCGGTTCCAGGTTCAATTCTGTACTTCGGTTGTGGTTTGTCCCCGGCCCTGGTATGGATTGTGCAGGGGGCAACCAGTAGATGTGTCCCTCTCACATCAATGTTTCTCTCTCTCTCACTTTCTATCCCTCCCACTCTATCTGAGGATAAATAGAAAAATATCCTCAAGTGAAGATTAAAAAAAAAATGCGGTTGATTTCTTGAGGTTAATTTTGTATCCTACTACCTTGCCAAATTAATTTATTAAGTCTAGTAGATTTGTGATGCAGTTTTTAGGGTTTTCTATGTACAATATCATATCTTCTGCAAATAATGACGGGTTTAACTTCCTCCTTTCCAATTTGGATCCGTTTTATTCTTTCTTCATGTCTAATTGCTGTGGCTAAGACTTCCAGTATTATGTTAAATAAGAATGGTGAAAGTGGGCATCCCTGTCTTGTTCCTGTTCCTGAGTGAAGTGTTTTTAGTTCTTGTCAATTGAGTATGATGTTGGCTGTAGGATTTTCATATATGGCCTTTCTTTTATCAAAATATGATCCCTCCACCCTGGCCAGTTTGGCTCAGCAGTTACAGCAGAGACCCAGGTTCGGTTCCCGCTAAGGGCATATACCTTGGTGGCACTTTGTCCCCGGTCCTGGTTGGGTCGTGCGGGAGGCAGCCACTCAATGTGTCCCTTTCACATCAATGCTTTTCTCTCTCTTTCATTCTCTCTCTCCCTCCCACTGTATCTGAACAAAAAAAAAATGGAAAAATGTTCTCTGATGAGTATATATATATATAAAATCCCTCCATTCCCACACTGCTGAGTGTTTTTATCAGAAATGGGTTCTGGATTTTGTCAAATGCTTTTTCAGCATCTACTGATAATATCATAAGGTTTTTATCTTTTATTTTGTTTATGTGCTGTATCACATTTATTGATTTGATAATATTGTACCATCCTTGCATCCTTGGGATGAATCCCACTTGGTCATGATGAATAATTTTTTTTGATGTATTGCTGAACCTGATCTGCTAATATTTTGTTAAGGATTTTGGCATCAGTGTTCATCAGGGCTACTACTGGCCTGTAGTTTTCTTTCTTTGTAGTGTCTTTATCTGGTTTTGGAATTAGAATTATGCTGGCCTCATAAAATGAGTTTGGAGGTCTTCCGTCTTCTTGGATTTTTTGGAATTCCTCTTTTTCTGACTCCCATTTTCTCTTCTTTTATCTTTCTAATTAATACTATTATGTTTAAAGAAGACAGTTTAGGTTATACAAACAAACTTTGTTTAACACCTGATGAACTGGACGGTTTTAAAATGGGGCAGAAGGCATCAACTTTGTAGGATAAAGAATAAAGAACAAGGAAGAGAAAAATAGAAAATATCTGATTGGCTGGGGTCACATAGTCAACTTTGTTTGAGGTAAGACGGTCCAGAGCTACCATAACAAAATAGCATACACTCGGTGGTTTAAACAATAGAATTTTATTTTTTCACTGTTCTGGAGGCTGGAAATCTGACATCAGCTAGCATGGTTGGGTTCTGGTAAGATCTCTTTTCTTGGCTTGTAGAAGGCTGCATATTATATTACAGTTTAGTACAAGGATCACACATCAACGACAGCATACGCTCAATAACTGTCAAATTTCTATGAAGCAACTTGAGGCTTTTTGCTTTTTTAATATACATTAAGGTGTGTATTTTTAAAGTGAACAAGAAATACCTTTGCATAAATTAGATTGGCTATGCATTCAGAAGAAAAAGTGTTAAATACATGTAAAATATATGCCTCATTATCCTTCAGAAACTTACGTCTTCTATTCTTTCCTTATATCTTTAAAGCCTTGAATGTTTAATTTAACTTATAATATTATTTTATTTTTTAAACATTTTCTGCTTGGTAAACTCACTTAAAAACATAACAAAGAGTCCTGGCATGTGTGGCTCAGTCAGTTGGAGTGTCGTCCCAGGTATCGAAGGGTTGCAGATTCAATTCCTGATGGTCAAAGCACATACCTAGGCTGTGATTCCATCCCCGGTTGGAGTGCATACAGGAGGTGACCTAATGGTCTGCCTCTCTCATATCAATGTCCCTCTCTCTCTTTCTCCCTCCCTCTCTCCCTTCCACTCTCTCTAAAAATCAATGGAAAAAAATATCCTTGGGTGAGTATTAATAAAAAACAAACAAAAATCCTTGGGTGAGGATTAAGAAAACATAAAAATAAAAACACATAAAAAAGAAACGTTCTGATGGCCATACAAGTAGTTAGGTATTATCTTTCAAAGTGTTCAGTTGAAAAGGACCAGGTGTTTTGCAGAGAAAACAGAGCTATTAATTACTTCAATGATGATGAGAGTTCTCTTCTGTTAATGGTTACCAGGTAATTCATAAGAGAAACATCCTTGAGTGAGTTATAAAGGTCAATCCCTTGTGGACTGAAATAAATTGTCAAGTTCAATTTAAAACAAGAATTTTAATCACAAGGATAATCTACCTATAGACAACTTCAGATTTAAAGGCCAAAACCTCAAGTTAGTAGTTTTTATACAGAATTTAACCCCTACTCCAAAGAAAATATCATGCATCATTTCCCATAAATGAAAAATATCACCATATTAACATTATAATAGCATCTAAATGTTTCATCAACATGTGAAACAGCTAAACACTACAAATAATATTTTGGGCCTAAATTTCCTGTTAATTATCTTCACCAACATTTTTAGAGCATAATAATGAAGAAAGATTACACCATAGTTCACTTCATACTTGTTTAACATTTATTTTCCATTGAACAGATTTTTAAATCCAGGAGAAAATTTAAAAGCCACATTTAGTTATTATCGCATTATTTCATTCTTATAGTAAAATACATTTTTGAAAGAAAGCATAGTACATAGCATAGTATAGAAAGCATGCTAGTCTTTTGGGGCTGCTATAACAAAATGCCACAAACTGGGTGCTTATGAGCACAGAAATTGATTTATCACAGTTCTGGGGGATAGAGACTGGGGTTCCAGCAATGATTAGGTGAGGTCCTTCTGCGTCACAGACTTATCTTCATACAGATCTCTCTGAAGCTCTTGTGTAAGGCACTAAAAACCCACTCATGAGGGCTTCATTCATAGGGCCTAATCACCTCCTCAAGCCCCAGCTACTGGTACCATCACATCAGGCATTAGGATTTCAACATAAAAATGGGGGTAGGGGGAACACACAACATTCAGACCACAGCAGAAAGTATAAAAATTTGCAATCAGATGGGAGAGGCAAAAACCTACCATTATTCCCAATATATATCAATAATCATTCATTCCTAGAAAGTATTATTCCCCTTGTATAAAAACAACATACCAAAATTAATTCACTCACTATTTAATGCAAAAAGTAGTACCGATGTCAGAGCTTATGTTGTAATTTGAAGAAGGGAGAAAAGCATTCTCAGCACTTTAAAAAATTAGTAAGTTTATTTCTTTAAAAAACAAACAAACAGGCTCTCCCAAAAACAAACAAACAAACAAACAAATAAACAAAAATGACCATAAGACCTAACATGACAGTGAGATCAGTGGAACTATACTAGTTGCTTTGCCACAGAATCAGATGTCATAAACCATTGAGAAATCAGACTACTTGGTTTACTACTGAAAAGACTGGACCTAAAAATGCTCTGTAATGTAATAAACATTTCTTGTGTGCCTACTCTGTGCCAGGCACAGCACTAAGAACTGAGGATATGCAGTAGTGATAAGCAAACAAAACAGCAAAGGCCCATGCTCTTGTGGAGCTTATACTGACTTGGAAAAGGGATTATTTATATTAAATTTAAATCCCTCTTATTTTATACTGCAGCTATTTTTTCTCCTTTTCACTACAGATTAAAAAGAACCTTGGCTGCCATCCCATGTTAAAATGTCTCTTTATTCTAGACAATATGCTCTTCTGGTAACTATATTATGTGTGGCAATATTTTAGTAATTTTCAGATACACTAATAATTTCATTATTTATAAAATCAAATCAAAGCAAAACAAAAATCCCCCACAAAACAAACATGCAATCCATATTGATTTAAAATATACTTTAGTTAATTCTGAGTTAATGTTTTTAAATAAAAAATACCCAATAAAACAATAATTTGGTCACAGGCTTTACCATAATAAATGCCATGGATGCTATTGATTGTCTAAGGAAGGGAAAGAGAAACCAGGGACATGGAAATATTATATAACAAAACCCAGTGGATGTCAAAGGATTTAGATAGCTTGTTATACAGTCAAATGCCTTAAATCTGTAATCCAGACTGTGGGATCCATCATCCTCCAAACTTTCTTTGAGGAGGAAACAAGAGAGGCCTGTGGGCTCTGCAGACTATGAATGAGACACATGGTCAGCTAAAGCCCAGGAGTGTGGGGGATGCTCAGCCTGCCTCTGACAGGCTAATCCAGGGAGCTCGACTTCTAGGTTACTAAGAAATAAGAACTCCTGTGTCAAAGACCAGAAAGGGAAAAAACAGAAAAAGCGTGTCCCAAAGTGCATGTTTCTCCAACACCATATTGCATTCTATATCCTTATGGTTCATCACAAAATTAATTTTATCAAAAATTTTCTTATAGGTAAAAATTATCTCTACACTTGCTGATCTGAAGACAGTTTTCATTTTTCTGTTTTCTAAGCTATGTTTTTGCAATGACTAAATCACTCTTTACATAAAGTTTCCAAAGTTGATGATACAACTAAGTTTGGTAACTTTCCAACCAAACATGCAAAATCTAACACATTCCAATTTGTGAATACCCTCTCTTAAATTTCCTCCATTTGAGCATTTAAACTGTTTCTCCCATAATCAGTTTACATTCTCATATTTAAAATCAAATTTTGCACACCATATTAAAAATAAGTAAATTCAAATAAAAACAGGAGGGGGGAAAAGGTACCTTTAATTTGGATCCATGAGGTACTAGAGATTTATTCTGGTTTGGTGGTATATACAGCTCCCATTTTCCATAATCCAGTTTTTTATATGGGTATGAAAAGGGGTTCCAATCATCTAAAAAATTAAAGGAGAACAGTTAACAATACCATGATCAAACTGACATTTAATGAACTTCAAGCAAAGCATAATATGCTCCCTACTTGTACCAAATCAAATTGCCTTAAAATTATTAAGTATTACAAGGTGTTAATAAAAATTCTCTACCAGTCATTTATAATATTGATACCTTAACATTAAGGATTGTAACATTTTCCATTGTACCTTCAACTCCAATACTTCTATTAATAAATAGAAAATAAAAGAAAACAGTAGGTACTTTTTTAAGAAACACCATCAACAAACAGAAATAATATGAAAAAAAATTGAAATGCATTCTAGGCAATTAGGTAAAATATATATCATGGTAGAAAACATGATGAAAAAAATTCAATTACATTTACCCAAATTCACAAGCATGTGACAGAACTGAGTTAAAATCTAAAGAAATGCCTGAAGCAAGAAAGATAGAAAGTTACAAACTATAGGGGGCAAAGGAAAGGTAGGCTGAAGGTCCTGGAAGAAAGCCAAAATGAGCAACAACAGATTCATGCACACATAGAAACTTATATAATAGAGGTGGCATAAAAATCGGTGAATAAAGGACACACTGTTAATCAAGTGTGCTGGTTATCTTTATGAGGATAAACAAATGAGTTTCTATTTAACAATATACCAAATAATCACTGTAACAGATTAATGTTAAATATGATAAGGCAAAACTGTAAAATACTTAGAAGAAAATATAGGAAAATATAGTTGTAATCTTGGAGTTATAGTGCTCTTTAAACAAGATTTTAAAAACACTAGGGTAAAGCCTGATGAATTTGACCACTATAATTATAAACTTATCTTGATAGATATGGATGAACAGACAGACAGAATGACAAGATAAGCTACCAACTGGGAATGCATTTGTAATAAATATACCAAGAGAGAGAATCCAAAAAATATTAAGAACATCTATAAGTCAATGCGAAAAAGAAAATAAAACAACTGAAAAATGAGCAAAGATATCCAGAGGACACATGAGTAGCCAATAAACTTATGTAATGATGCTCAATCTTACTAGTAATTAAGAGAATACAAATTACAACAATGAGATGTCAGTCCCTACCCACTGGATTAGTACAACTTAACAGTTCTAAAATATCAAGTAATCAGCAAGGATATAAAAAAACATTGCAGCTGACGATATAAATGGATAAAACAACTTGGCATCATGTAACAAAGTTGAAGATATGTTAATTCTATGGCACAACAAATCCTACTCTTAGGTAATAACCTAGAGGGATTCTCACAAATGTGTACAAGAAAGCTTTCACAAATGTTCGCTGAAGAATTTTTGCAATAGCAAATAATAATAGTAATACAGTTGGCTATCAAAATTTAAATCAGCCACAAAATGGGTAAAAACACTGTGGTATAATTAAACAGCAGGAAGCCAAATAACAGTATAAACTGAAAGGATTAGAACTAATAAATATATCATCATATAGGAACAGCCAAAACATAAAAATTAATTTTAAAGGGTTATAAAAGAATACCATGTATATCAAGTTCAAGAAATCTGAAAAACAGCACATATAACACTACATATGTATGTATAAAAATATCAAAAGAGAAATGAAATTTTAAACATTAAGCTCTCTAGTGAACTCTATAGAAGAAAGGAACACAAGATACTTCAATAATACCTGTAATAATTTGTTTCTTAAGGTAGATGGTGTGCACAGAGAAGCCTAATACATTTTTCCCTATTTGTTTATGCCTGAAATATAGTATGGTCTTAAAATAAATTAGGCAGTCCTGTGAAGCTATACATTGTAGTGCTATTGTTATCAATGGAAGTAGAGTTCTCACGGTACTGTGAGGAAATGAATTTCCTGAGGTCCCCACAGGATGATGGAGTTTTGAGGAAAGCTTTATTGATGATGTAAAATTAAGGGGATTTCCCTCCGAGGTCCTATCTCTGTCCATCTCGCCCCATGGAAGAAGTCCAATCTTGTCCTCAGCAGGGCTAGAATAAAAGACACAGACCATAGTTTCTGCTCCACATTAAAGTCCAGTCCAGTCCAGCATCCTGCATGTGGAGTTCTCATGGCCATGGGTCATGTGGCTGCTGAGGCCACCTCACTATGGAAAGAGAACAGGCAAGTGCAGGTCACACAGCAAGAGAGAACAAGAGGGAACAAGAGAGAGGGAACTCTTGTCTGGAGATTTTAACCAGGAACTTCTTCAAACTAACCAATTAACTTTCCAGGATTTTGAGAGCTTCTAATGGGGTCCACCCATTAGTCAATCCATTGTTCCCAGGCTAGACTGACAGGCAAGCACCGCCCCTGTGCCATCCCAACTTCTACTGTGCCTGTGCACACCTCCTCCTTCCCCAACAATCCAGTACTGGGTGGGGAAGCGCAGTGTGTTCATCCCTGTGGAGAGACAATGCTGTGTGAAGCTGTAGCTTCCTGGTAAATCTTCCTAGGTGATAATGCTCACAATGTCTGACTTTCCTTTGCTTTCTTTCCTTTTTAAATATTAACTAGCTAATTACAATGATAACACTATGACACTGAATTCTTAATTGAAGAGATAATGACAACATCAGAAAGCTTGTATAGTGCCATGATTTTCTCTCTTAAACACCAACTTCTCCACTTCATCAGCTCTAATCATCTTCCCTCTTCCCCAGTCTGAACACTGGGTCTAGAGATGGGGCTAAGAAACAGTCCAGCTGTTATTGGTGGGAGTGGAGTGTCACAAGTGGAAGGGGGTAAGGGTCAGGTTCTTATGATATCATGAGAAAAATTTTTTTCTAAGACTAGCACAAGAGAATGAATGAATTTTATTTGCGTGGAATTATATTTATGAGGTTTTTAAGTCCCATTTGTCTTAGTCCAAAGTAAAGCCAGAAGCAAAGCCAGTGTCCAGAGTTTCCGTTCCATGGTGGAGTTAAGTCTGGTGTAGTGTCAGAGTAATTGTAGTCCACAAGACCACTGTGTGGGGAGAAGGGGGTTCAAATGGCCATGTGGGTGAGTGCAGGAGCTTGAGAACTCCAGGAATCAGGAGAAGCAAGAGAAAAAAAAAAGGGGGGGGGGGGAGAATGCCCTTAGTTTAGTTTAAATATCACAACTTCCAGTGCTTGTAGTGCCATGCTTATTCAGGCCAATGATTTGCTCCCGTGTGTGATTAACAGGCAAGCACCTTCACAAGTCACCCAGACCTTACTGGGCATGCATCTATTATCCAGTCCCTTACCCCATCCATCTGCAGGGAACACACCCGGAGAATGTTAAACTGCAACTTCCTGGCACAAATGGCATGCCTATATTATCTGGCATTCTCTTATTCCTTTTCTGTTAATTAATATCAGGTTATTACAATGGCATTTCTAAATAAATATTTCTCTACATCCCATTGTGAATACAACCTGAAAACGTCTACAGGCAGTCTATCTTCAGGAGCAGTTCTACAGTCTCTGTTATACTCTCCTGCCCTTAAAACCTCAAATACATCTCAACTATGTATGATATAACATTCCTTTATCAAAGCAAAGAATTTAGGGCGTAGTTAGAAAAAAATCTTAAACTATAAATGTCTAATTCCTGAAACACTTTAAAAATGTACTAAATTTATTTTTAAGCCAACCACTTAAGACTATAAGACAAGTAGCAGATCATTTCTTGGTTAGTTAGATATGAAAATAAAGGGTACAGTTCATTAGCTCATTCATTTACTCATTAAATATGTATCAAGTGCTTAATGCAGGCCCTGCTTATTGCAAACCAAAATTAGTATCCTGCTTATTGCAAACCAAAATTAGTATTCAAACCAATAGTCACAGCTCAAAAGAAAAAGTTATATTAAGTAACAGTACATCAAAATTAATAGTAAAATTTTTAATGCAGGATACACACGTGGCATTAATGTGCTTCTCTATCAAATACAGAACTACACAGTGAGAGTCCTGCAGTTCAATGGTTCCCAAACTGTAATGCACACCAGAGTCACCTGAGCTTATTAAAACAGACTGCTGTACCCCACCCTGAGCTCGCTTCAGTAGATCTTCCGTGTGGCCTAATAATCTGCATTTCTAACAAGTTCCTAAGTGGTACTGATGCTATTGGCTTAGGGACCACATTTCAGAAACAACTGCCTGGTTCAACCACTGTGCTCAGGTGTTCTCTACTCATGGCTACGTGAGTGGTTTCCTAGATTAAATCAGATTTATAGACTACCAAAGAATGTTCTAAATCTATAGGTCAAGGAAATTCTGAAACAGAAAATATTAATAATCCTTCAAGGCAAATATTATTCACATGAAATTTAAATTTAGTATTTTACCAGTGTAGTACAGATTAGAGAACAGCCCTGGCTGGTCTGGCTCAGTGGTAGAGTGTCAGCCCACGGACCAGAGTCGTGGGTTCGATTCCGGTCAAGGGCACATACCTCAGTTGCAGTTTGGTCCCCAGCCCTGGTCAGGATCGTGCAGGAGGCAACCAATTGATGTGTCCCTCTCACATTGATGTTTCTCTTCCCCCCACTCTGAGGGATAAAAATAAATTAAAGAACAGATCTGAGATATTAAGATTAATGTGAGGGGGAAAAACTGATAATTTGAACAGGAAAACACAATGAGGTATCACTTCACACCTCTCAGAATAGCTACAATTAATAAATCAACAAACAACGAGAGCTAGAGTGGATGTGGAGAAAAGGGAACCCTAGTGCACTGCTGGTGAGAATGCAGATTTGTGCAGCCACTGTGAAAAACAGTATATAATTTCCTTTAAAAATTAAAAATGGAACTGTCTTTCATTTTAGCAATCCCATTTCTGGGAAATATAACCTAAGAATCCCATATCACCCATCAAAAAGAATATATGCAACCCTATGTTCATAGGAGCATTATTTACAAAAGCCAAGATCTGAAAACAGCCCAAGTCCCCATCAGGAGACGAGTGGATAAACAAGCCATGGTACACATACCCAACAGAATACTATGTAGCTATAAAAAA